AAGTCCGATCCAAGTCACATCAACAAATCTCCACCTTGACTTGGATCCTCTTCCTCTGAAATCTCTGATGTACTCTGCTCCTTCTATCTCTCTCCCGCCATCAATGCCCCGCAGGGCGGAGTCACCCACTCAAGACATTCAGCAAGTCCAAGCAGTGTTGGAACTTGCCATGTTGAACCGGCTTCGTGAACATATCAGCAGGATTATCCGCGGTGCCAACCTTCTTCACCTTAATCCTCTTATCTGTCCTCAAGAAATGATACCTCACATCGATGTGCTTAGTCCTCTCATGATGGACTTGATCCTTGGCCAAGCATATTGCACTCAAACTGTCGCAATACACCACTGCCTGATCATGATGTAGACCAAGATCACCAACCAGTCCCTTCAACCATATTCCCTCCTTAGCAGCTTCTGTCAACGCCATATACTCTGCCTCAGTAGTAGACAATGTCACCGCCGACTGCAAAGTTGCCTTCCAGCTCACTACAGAACTCCCAAGAGTGAATACATAACTGGTCATCGATCTCCTCGTGTCAACATCTCCAGCATAGTCCGAGTCAGAATACCCAGACACCAAACACTCTGTATCACTTCCAAAGCTAATCCCCACATCAGGTGTACCCTTAAGGTACCGGAAGATCCTCTTCACAGCCTGCCAATGCTCCTTCCCAGGTTGTATCATAAACCTGCTGACAACACTAACAGCATGTGCAAGATCAGGTCTAGTGCATACCATAGCGTACATCAAGCTACCTACTGCACTAGCATATGGGACTCTCGACATGTACTCCTTCTCAGCCTCTGACTGCGGTGCATAAGCTGAGGATAGATGAACACTTGAAGCACTAGGAGTATTGCTGAAGACATGCCAAACCTCGACAGTATCTTCTGGATGTAGCTCTTCTGTGACAAGAAAAGCTTCTTCTTCGACCTGTCCCTGTAAATCTCCATACCCAAGATCTTCTGAGCAGCTCCCAAATCTTTCATCTCAAACTCAGCACTGAGAAGCCCCTTTAACTTCTGGATATCAGACTTCGACCTCGCGGCTATGAGCATATCATCCACATAAAGAACAAGATAGATCATCGAACCATCCTCCACCTTCTTGTGATACACACAACAATCATATGGACTTCTGCTATAGCCCAGCTCAAGCATGTAACTGTCAAATCTCTTGTACCACTGCCTCGGAGACTGCTTAAGTCCATACAAGGACTTCTTCAGCTTACAAACATAGTCTTCTTTCCCGGAACCTCGAATCCTTCTGGCTGAGTCATGTAAATTTCTTCCTCCAACTCTCCATGTAGGAAAGCTGTCTTCACGTCTAGCTGCTCGAGCTCCAAGTCATAATGTGCCACTATTGCTAGTAGCACTCTGATCGAAGTATGTCTGACTACTAGTGAGAAAATCTCATTGTAGTCAACTCCTTCCCTCTGCGAGAAGCCTCGTGTAACCACCCGAGCTTTAAACTTCATGCCCTCTTTAGAAGTGATTCATTCCTTCTTCTTGTAGATCCACTTGTTTGTAACAATCTTCCTTCCCTGTGGTCGTTTGACTAGCTCCCAAGTCTGATTCCTGTCATGGGATTCCATCTCATCTCTCATTGCGGCAAGCCACTGATCAGCTTCGCCACCCGAAATGGATTCTCTATAGGACTGTGGCTCACCTGCATCCACTTCTTTAGCAACCTGGAATGAATACGCCACCATGTCCTCGAAACCATACCTCTCTGGAGGTACTCCTGCAGTCGCTCTCATTGGTCTACCGGAAGCTATAGACTGTTGAGCTCCTGCACTGGACTTTGAAGTTTCTGGCTCCGTAGAAACATCCTCATGTTGATCTTCTCCACCTTGGTGCTCAAACTCACTCTCATTGAGAGTTTGCAGCTCCACCTGCTTATCAACATTCCTGCTACCTTCAACAACAGTAACCTTCAACATGGGGTTAAACATAGACTTCTCATCATAAATCACATTTCTATTGAGTATAACTCGATGCTCAGAAGGTGACCAGACTCGAAATCTCTTAACTCCATCTCCATAACCCACAAATACACCCTTCTTTGCCCTTGGGTTCAGTTTACCCTCATCCGCATGATAATAAACAGGACACCAAAAAACTTTCAGTGAAGAGTAATTAGCAGGCTTACCATACCACACCTCATAAGGAGTCTTCAACTCGATACCTGTGTGAGGTCCACGGTTGATCAGGAAGCACTCCATGTTCACTGCTTCTGCCCAAAATCTTCTCTCTAATCCAGCATTAGAGAGCATGGATCGTGCTCTCTCCAACAATGTCTGGTTCATCCTTTCTGCAACGCCATTCTGTTGGGGTGTATCTCTCATGGTCTGATGACGGGCAATCCCTTCATCCTTGGAGAATTCGTTGAACTCAAAATTACAGAACTCCAGACCATTGTCCGTTTGCAGCTTCTTGATCTTCTTCCCGGTCTGATTCTCCACCAATGTCTTCCACTGCTTGAACTTCGTGAAAGCCTCACTTTTCTGCTTCATCATGAAAATCCAAGTAAATCTCGAATAATCATCAATAATAGACAGAAAATACCTACTGCCTTCAATGGATTCAACTCGTGAAGGACCCCAACTGTCGGAGTGGAGGTAATCCAGTATCCCCTTTGTCCGGTGGATACCCTTCTTGGGAAACTTGATGCGATGTAGCTTCCCAAACACACAATGCTCGCAGAATTCCAAATTCTGCATCTTGTGCCCGCAAAGAAGATCCCTCTTCGACAGAACTTGCATCCCCCGTTCACTCATATGCCCCAGTCTCATGTGCCAGAGAGTGGTCATATCTTCCTGATGAACCTGAGATGATGCAACTGCAGCAGAACCAGACAACACAGACCCTTGTAATGCATACAAGGTCCCACGCTTCACGCCCTTCAGCACCTTCCTTGAACCTTTGCAGAAATACACAACTCCACCTTTTCCTTTGAAACTGAAACCCTTGTTGTCGAGTAGACTCAAGGAGATCAGGTTCTTTGTCATTCGTGGAACATGTCTGACATCATTCACGGTACAGAACGAACCATCATGTGTCCGAACCTTTATGGACCCGATTCCAACAACCTTGCAGACAGCTCCATTAGCCATGACCACGTTACCACCATCTATCTGCTTGTAGGTTGTGAAGCAATCCCTGTTCGGAGACATATGGTATGAGGCTGCAGTATCCATAAACCACACATGCCCACGATGTGCCTTCTCATCTACAGCCAAGGCGAGATCGTCTTCAGAACTGTTGTCCACTTCTGCCACGGCAACTGAACCTTGTTTCTTGTGTTGCCCTCTTCTCTTGGGACAGTTGTACTTCCAATGCCCCACTTCCTTATAGTTGTGACAAGCATCACCTGGCTGTGGACCGGGACCCTTGGAATTCTTGTTCGAATTCCCTTTACCAGATTTATTCTTTCCCTTTCCACCTGTAACAGCCAAACCCGATGCCTCACCACCTGTACCAGATCCAGATGCCTTATGCCTGATCTCTCTCGTATGAAGAGTAGACCTGACATCCTCCAACGACACGCTTTCTTTACCAGCAATAAAAGAATCAACGAAATTCTCATATGAACTCGGCAAAGAAACCAGTAGGACTAGGGCAGCATCCTCGTCATCAACTTGAACATCTATATTACGCAGATCCAGCAAAATAGATTTAAGTTGTTCGAGATGTTCCCTCAAAGGCGTACCTTCTTGCATCCTCAAGCTGAACAACCGTTGCTTGAGATGCAGCTTGTTGGTTAAGGACTTCGTCATGTACAGACTCTCCAACTTTAACCACAAGCCCGCGGCAGTCGTCTCAGCAGCGACTTCAATGATGACGTCATCAGACAACGATAGCATGATGGTCGAGTGGGCCTTCTCCACCAGGGTATTCCACTCATCGTCATCGACCGCTACCTTCTTCTGTTTCGCAGACAGCGGCCCCCACAACCCTTGCTGTTTCAATAAAGCCTGCATCTTGATCTGCCATATAGCGAAGCTGTTCTTTCCCGTGAACTTTTCGATCTTCATGTTCACCGACGTCATTCTTCTGAATCCAAAACCCTAGCCTAATTTCCAGCCACGGCTCTGATACCACTTGTTATAAACGCGCTGCTACGGATCGGGAAATCGCCGGAATCGATAAAGCAAGAATACGAAGTGAGAATCGAAAAAACACAGACACACGATTTACGTGGTTCACTAACACGATGTGTGTTAGCTACGTCCACGGGCGAGAGAGAGTCAGTTTCACTATATCGAGGAGATTACAGATTACAAAGGAGTATGAGAAGTATTTATAGTACTTCTCCATGTGGGTCTAAACCTAATCCAATTACCAGAAGTATTTATAGTACTTACAGCGAGACCCCCGATTACCAGTCGTAGCGGCTGATAGTCCGATCCAAGTCACATCAATAGTATTCAACGTTCTTTGAGATCATTGAAATCTTTCAAAATAGCATCTAAACTAAAAAATTTAGCTAACTTTCTTTCAGTATAACTAAATCATTAACAAGAAAATTATCATTTATTTTGTTTCACAGTCTATTCTTTACTATCTTTATACCTGAAAACATGCACAATCACATGTAGCTTTGAAAATTTGGAAGAGTTAGAAGAAGATAAATCAACCTATCAACAAAATAAAATTCTTTTGACAATCATCGTTCTATTGATTCCGACATAGATAAAAAAAATAGATTATATGGTTTCTATAAAGAGCTAAAAATCCCATGTGAACTAAATAGAGGTTGATTTTTTTTAGTTTAAGCAAAAAGAATGAAAAGGAGTGGGTTTCCGTTTGTTTTGGTCCAGGACCTTGTGGAGGAGAATTAAGATAATAAAGTCCAAAAAGTATTTAAAGCAAAAATGAACAATTTAGCTTAGCTACCAGTAGACTACATGACTATTGCATGATACAATTTATAGGTCAAGCACTACTTATCCAAATTTAATCTAAATATCCTTACGGTCCTAGGGGCCGAGACTATTCCCGAGTGGGCCGGGGCCCACCCTAATCTCTAAGTAGCTCCGCCCCTGGACATGTTAATGGTGAATTATCCCCGCAAACAGTTAATGTGTGGTTTGATGGTGCTGCCAAACGAGGACAGAGAGGGAGTATTGGCTTTGTTAGCTTCCAACTATCAGACACTGTGCTATTTGCTTTTGGGAAGTACTATGAAGGGATTCATGATCCATTCCTTATGGAATGCTTAGCGTTGAAAGATGCGATCCAATGGTGCCTCACTCATTCTTTTCTTGTTGTTTGTTTTCATGGGGACTCTCAACTATTAATTCGGCGAATGGCGAGAGGTGACCTCAATCATGATCGAGGAGGAGCTATACTCGAGGATGTTCGGAGCTTGGCCGCTTCGTTTACCAAAGTGTCAATCTGTTTTGTTTCTCGTAGACTCAATAGGACTGCCCATCTTGTGGCACAAAAGGTCATTTTATCGGGGATTCGACTACTGGTCGACTCCCGCACACTTCTTTTTCCCTCGGTATGATTGACTTTTTTTCTGACTTGGTTTAAAAAAAAAAACAACTTGCCTTGCCGCTGGGGGATTATCAGTATCCGGTGATTGAAAAGTTAGTTGAAACATATGACGAATCTATACACGAAACGGGAACCAAGATCTGGATGAATTTGTGCCTTCCGGATGCTTGTCAAATTCATAATTGGAAACAGAAGTGAATCGTGATCGACAAAATCAAAATTAATCAGGGATTTGTTTCTGATTGATGCTGCTGCTGATAGTATATATATGCATTAAATGTGACGAATGCAAAGATGATTGATTATTGAAGGCGCCAACAGGTTGTTTAAAGGCTAATTCAGTACTAAAATGACACCTTAACCCCACAATAACAACCGGCAAAAAGATAAACCCTGGTTTTGATGTGGAAGTTCTTCCAATCTGGACAAAGATCGAACCCGTTGCAGTCAGAGTCGAACCAAACTGTGACAAGGGAATGGGGTTGATTTGAAAATCTGAACCTCCAAAGTGGGACCCTGTCCTGCCTTTTCTAGCCGGCTACGAGCCCATCGCCCATTGATTGATTGTCTAGTCTCGTGTTTAAGGTATGAATTAGACGAACCACCTGAAACGTACCTCCTCTAGAAAAGAGGAAATTAAAGATTCTTGCTGGCGGAGCGACGATTCAGTTGCCTGTGACAGATTTCAATACCTTCTTCTTGTAATAAGATAAACACCACGCCACCGTTTCCTTCTTCTTTCATTTCAGCCTGAATGCGACGCTCCTTTGCTCATCAATGGCGAGCCCTGTGACAGAGGTAATCTTTTCCCCCTCCCCTGCTTCTTCTTTCTACCCAACAGAAGTAAAGATAGAAACTTTAGCTAGATTTCTTTCGTGGGATTTGTCTGCAAAATCCTTCTGCTATGTCTTTGGATGAAAAGTATTGCCTTTTTTCCTCTGTTGGTGAGAATCCTTTGTGCATACGGATTCGTGTGCTCTGCTCTGGGAAGTTTTGTGTCGGTGACTTGAGATTCCCTTTATTTCCCCCCTAATCTATAGAGCAACGAGCAATCATGGAGTTCGAGTGGGTGGCCGCTTGGGCTGCAAATCATGAATTTAAGACTTCGGGTGATGGAGATCAGCAGAAATCAGACCAGCCGTCGTCTTCCGCCGTCATCCAGTTTCTCCTCTTTCTCTTCCTCAAATCTGGACACCGAGGTAATAGGAATCGATTCAAATCAAAACTACACAATCAAACCCAACTCTTTAATTGATTTTACCGATCTAAAATTTTTACGTTTTGCAGTCCACGGCCTCTTTCTTCCAAGACAACAGCGTGTCGCTGGGGAGGCTAATTGGGTTTCGGCCAGCTGCCCAGAGAAGGAACGGCGTCGCGGCGGCGGCGGCGGCGGGTAATGGGTGTGAAGGAGGTTCAAGAGGACATGGGAGAGTAGGAATCTGCATACCTTTTATGCTCGGTACCATTGACAAGATCAGTATCAGAAGATCAAAGGAGAGAGGTCGAGTGAGTGATATCATCTAGTGCAGAGTGGATTGAAACTTGTTCTTGTTCATGCTTTCTGGTCTATTGAGAAGGCCATTGCTTTGTGGTCTATTCGTGAACTGAAGGGTGTGTGTAGATTTGTCTTTTGTGTATCTTAATTCTTGCGGTTGAAGTGTTCCTCCATAGGCCACTCTTACATGGGATTTTGATTCCTTTTTTATCACATGGTCTCCTTGACAAGTTGAATTGCATCAATGGGAGGATAATTGGTAGAATTGCTCTAATGTAATTGATTCGATAAACATTGAAACGAAATTGAAGTTGCATTTTCTAACGAATACCTTACATACTAACTTAGCGCAAAGAAAGGGAAATTCTAAGGCATATTGGTGAATTTGTCGACCCTCTTCATCTTGGAGAAATCAAAGTTCTTGAGGAGTTCTTGCTGCTGAATCTCGTCGCTGGAAGGGAGACCCATCTGCTTCTGGCGCTGGTCGAACATCATCTTCTCCACCGTCGACCTCAACTCTGGATCCAAATCACTCAGCCTGCTGGGCTCCGGCTCCACCTTCTGCGTATCAATCTCCGGCCCTCCCTTCACCAGCGACTTCCACCAATTCTTGTCGTCCGATTTCGTCAGCAAAACAGAGACCGTCTTCTGATCTTCCAATTGCCAGAAAGACTCGCCCACTTTCACTGGACCCAACAGTTCGCCGTCGATAATCATCGTCGGCTCGCCATTGAGCCCGAGCTTCAGAGACTTCTTCCTGATCTCGCACGAAATCTGCTTCGATTTCGTCCCGGGAGGGACTGGGACAGTGATCGTTACCTCTTGAAGGCTCTGCCCCCACGAATACTTCTCCAAATCGAGTCCATTGCCGGCGTTCGGAAGAAGAGAAGTGGGTTCCTCCTTCTTCTCCGGCGGAGGGGAGTTGGGAATTGGGTTGGTCTGCGTTTCGTCGATGTCGGAGAGGATCGCCATGGCTGATACTGTAATAGCGACTCAAGTTGATTTTTGGGTTTGGGACTTGGGAGGATTCGATAGGCGGAAGGGGATATTTATCGGAGATTGTGGTCGGAGCTTTCCGAGTTTAAAGAGGAGAAGGAAATCAGTTTTGTTTTCTGATGATCCCTTATCAACGACGACAAAACCCAAAGACGGCGTCGTTTGGATATATACAGCCTTAAACCCAACAAAGAGTCTGACCTCTCTTTTCCCATAACCTAAAACCCTCGAAACGAAATAGCGATCGCCATGTCCGCCACCGCAGTCGCCAGGTCAGTCCTCCGTTTCACCGCCATCAGGCCAGCCACCACCCGCCGATTTCCTTCCAGAGCTAGGCCGGCGTTCTTCACTTTACCCTCCTCAAGGAGAACCCCTCCGCCTTCTCTTCGTATTTCGAGGTAATTTGATAGATATTCTTCTACGCCATCGGACTCCGATTCTTATGATCCAGTTTTCTGGTAAATTGATGATGAACTTTTCAACTTAGGCCGATGAGCTGTTTGGCTGACACATTGCTTCCGTATCACTCCGCCAACGCCTCCGCACTGATCAATTCGAAGCTCTCCGTCTCTCGCTGCGCTTATGTCTGGACTCTCGATGGTGACTTAAGTATTTCCATTTTTACTTGAGAATTAAAACCCTAGAGTTACTTGGTTATGATGAATTGGTTAATTTGATTGATTGATTGATTGATGTGTATGATGGAAATGTGAATCCAATCATATCCATGAAAGTTCGAGTCTAATGTCCCATATTCTGCAGTTTTCCAGAGTTCTCAAAGGGAAGTCATATGCTTTATGCAACAATCCTTTTCTCGAACGGTTTTGTAAATCACGTCATTGTGCAGCATGCAACAGTCTAGACTGCGCTCGTAGGCAATTGATCTTCTATTGGTTGCCAATTTGCCCGATGGAGGAAGATTGTTCTTCATTTGCTCGTGTCGATGTTCTTGTGAAAAGATTGGATTGTATGGATTTGACTGTCTGTGCTTTTATGTGCGTCTTGCTGAATTTACAGACCAATCCTTTTGGAATTTCTGTGTCTGGATCATGTGCTCTGCTGCAAGTGGCTTTCATTTTCGATACATATCGAGTCTATATTGACGCCTTGCTTCGTGTTGTTCTATGCAGATGGATAATTAGTTCTATACCGTGATAGAGAGTGTGCGCTATCTTCGTTATGTTTCAGATGAGATGGCGAGTTGTCGTTGAAGGCGTTTCAAGCGTTGAATGACCAAATTCAACTATTCGAACTTCCTATGTTTATACAATTCAATCTGGTTTCCAACTAGAATCTGAGTTTTGGAACAGTTGCCAAGTTTTAATACTTGCTGATGAAACTTGAGCTGCTTGTATTCATTCTCCTGTGAGAGGGAAGGAGTTGCAATTTACTCATCCTCATGTTGAGGCATTATATATCAAGTTTGCATCGATCTAGGAAGAATCAATTACAGCCTCTGCTAGGAGCTAGCTATGTTCCAGCAAAACTGGGAACTGGAAGCATGCTGTTCATATCACTGTCCTCTGTCCAGTTTCTCATGCCTATGTCCGACGATGCTGGTCTCTTTCTCTTGCTCTTAGCTGAACAGTCTCCCTTGACTCTTACCATCATCGATCTGCCTTAACTCTACGGATCGACACCGTGCCAAGATGCTACTCAATTCAGATTTGGTCACAACGACACAGAGTACATAGATTCCTGCTGGATCCCAATCCTAGTTATAACATGCCAATTGAAGTTTCAATTACAAGAGCTGCTCGTGTGGAACGAAGACTATCGTACTATGATGCACGCAATAAGAAAGCGACGAAAGACCACAAATAGTTATATGGATACTTCAACCATAGATCGCCAGAGATATCGACTAAACAATAGAGGATCTACTATTAACAGTTCTAACACCAAATGTTACTCAAGGCAAGCTTAAAATACCAGAGACTGAACCAATTTCAGGGAGGTTCCATATACCAAACCCAGTAAAGAGTCATAGCATTAACATCCCACAACACAATGGAACAAAACCAGAAAACTTTGATCAGGCCTCTAAAGACTTACATATCTCCACTTAAGCAAAAAACCCCAGAAAAACCATTAAAAAAAACTCCATCCCTAACAAGCACCACCCCTTGAAAAACATCAGCTCTACTCATCTGCAGCAACCGTCACCAGCTCATACTCCACCAGCGACATATTGTTATCATCTTTTACCACGAAATTAGCAGGTTCAGTGACTTCGATGCGACCCCACTTGTCAACAGCTAGCCTCATGGAACCTTTGAACATGTCGATCTTCGAGTTTCGGATTATGATAGTGGTTTCAGGCTTCACCAAGTCAACTGCAGCAGGAACCCAAAGCAGAGATCAGTTTGTGAAAATGAGACTACAGCAATCAGGAGATCGGTAGCAAAAGCATCCATATGGCTTTTCTTGCTAGAGGAGCAAATAAAAACACAGACAAGATAAACTCGCCACCCTAACATCTAGAACAGACTGATATAGGAACACGCCATTCGGATTGAGACCAAAATAAGGCAAAACTCCATTCATTACACTTCACTGGTTCATAACAATCTTAAAGCGAAAGAGGCAGTAGTTCATCAGAAGCTAGTTTCTAGCAGCAAGGACAGACAAATGTGCATAAGGGAAAGCAACAGAGAAATTGTGCCTTAACTCTGCCAATTATCTCATCTCAAACGTCAAACCTAATTTATGCCTCACATCCCCCCATTAAGCACCTTTAAAGTGCAAAACTAACTTAAAAAGGAAACTCGGAGCAGTAGTGAACCACAGGAGCTCAGCTCATCAGCATAGAAATGACACCCACAAACAACATGAATAGCCAGACCAACCAACATTTCAGAACCCAGAAATTCCCTTCTTCAGCAAACCCACCACAGATCTCGAAACCCCACCACCACCATAATTTCAAATACACAATCACAGACGAGAAGAAAAGAGACAGGAACAAACGGACCTTGTTCATTACGGGCGGTAAGGAGGATGGTCCCGGTCTCGTCACCGACGAGGCACTCCGCGATGCGAGTGTTGCGGAGGCGCTGAGACGCCGCCCGGCCCTTCTGCAAGACGGTGTTTGACGACAAAACCTTCACGATCAGGTTGTTGTTCTGGGTCCCCGGCTTCAGCTGGTCGACTTTCACGAACACCGGCTTCTTCTTCTCCACCACCACCCCCGCGCCCTGCTGCTGCTGCTGCTGATTCGAGTTCGCGACGGTCGCCATTTGATTCGAGCGCGATAGATTCAGAGGTCCTTCGTTTATCCGGGAACTGGAAGGTAGCTAGCGAGGCGAAGTGTCGCCTTTTGGGAAAGGAATGGAAAACCCTAGATGGATGGAAGGAAGGTCAGAGTTTTGGCCGATTGGTATTCCTCTCTCTCTCTCTCTCTCTCTCTTCTCGGACCAACCCGTGCGTTTCGCTCCCATTTTCTTGCTGTTTCCAATTTTAACTCCCCTTCCCATACGTCGTCGTTTCTAGATGGCATAATTGTGTGTGACAACTGACAACTCGCAATAAGCCATATTAATGACATATACTATCTTACTAAAGTACGAAACAGAATTTGTTCTAGCGATTTCACTGCTGGTTTTCAATTCGAACATCCCAAGTTCAATTTACGACCATCGTCCACTCATGAATTTTGATTTGGATGGATAGTTTTTATCTAGCGATTTCACTGCTCGTTTTTACTCCGAAGATCTCAAATTCAACTTACGACCATCGTCCACTCGTGAAGTTTGATTTGGATGGATAGTATGGAATGTTGTATTGGGTGACATGCATTGGTTTTCATAGGAGACCATTAAATCCAGGACAACCTTCACTATAATTTGGTAAGAACATAACAAAAAGGGTAGGAGGAAGCACATGTGTTTCATGTTTCAAACACTGGAGGACATAGATATGATGAACCGAACAGAGAGCATTCTACTATCAACAGCTTCAACAACAAAAGGGTTAAGATCAGGTAGTTCAATTTACCAGATACTGGAGAACCAAACTTTTAGAGAGGTCCTGTATACCACTCAGAAACAAGATTGAGAATGCTTCCCCAAATAGCATTTACCACCCACCACCTCAGGACAACAAATGTAAGAGAACCCGAAAAACTCTTGATCGTGCCTCTAGAGGCTTAATATGAACTCCCCCTAAGACGAACACCACCAATCGTGAAAGCAGTCCGCTCTACTCATCTGCAGCGACAGTCACCAGTTCGTACTCCGCGAGCGACAGGTTGTTGTCCTCTTCTACCGTGAAATTAGCAGGTTCGGTGGCTTCGATGCGACCCCACTTGTCTACAGCCAGCCTCATGGAGCCCTTGAACATGTCGATCTTTGCGTTCCGGATTATGATCGTGGTGTTTGGCTTCACCAAGTCAACTGTGCAGCAGAAACACAATTCATAAGAGAACACACAATCAAGAGATGAATCGTTACGCGGTGCAAGGCCAAAGCTGGAGGATCAAACCAGAAACAACACAAACATTGATGAAAACATACGATGCACAATGCAGGTGAAGACATCTTAAACAGACCCTCCAAGAGGAAACATGGCATTCGGTAAATGGCAGTATGAGGGAACAATCAGTAGTTTATTCGATTCCAAGGGTCTAGCGACTACAGTCACAGTGATTAGGTAATGTGGGTAGAGAAGTATAGTTTACACCATTTCAGTGAGCAATGAGCACAGTAGAATGCCTTGATTTGCCCACTTCAAAACAGTAATGAACATGGAAGCTCATCATCATTCACCACCAAAGGAAATGAACATCAATCGGTAGACCCTCAAAATTTCCATAACGAGCAAATTCAATTCCCCCCTCAGCAGAACAAATCTCAAATCCGCTAATAAAAGAAACCCCCACAATTTCTATCGAACAAAGGAAAGAGGGACGGACCTTGCTCATTGCGAGCTTTGAGGAGGATAGTCCCGGTCTCGTCGCCGACAAGGCACTCGGCGATGCGAGTTTTTTGGGGGCGCTGAGACGCTGCTGCCGCCGCCGCTGGCCGGGGGGCCTTCCCTAGGACGGCGTTGAAGGACAAGACTTTCACGATCAGGTTGTGGTTTTGAGTCCCTGGTTTCAGGTGGTCGACTTTCACGAACACCGGCTTCCGCTTCGCAACCGCCGCCGACGCTGCCGACTGTCTCTGCCGCTGATTCGGTTTCGCCGTCGCCATGGATTCGCGTGGGAGGAATCGAAAACCCTAGGTGGAAGGGAAGGTGGCGATTGGATTTGGGATTCTCTACTATCTATCACACTCTCTACCCAAATTCGGTGCTCCCTCCTCCGCAACAACTCGTGTGTAAGTTTCGCTACCATTTCCGGCTCTTCGCGATTTTATCTGCACGGGTAATTACTAATCAGTCACAAACACTTAGTATAAAATGGTTATAAACCTTTAATTTGTAACAATATAGTAACAAAACTTTATACTTAAAACAAAATGGTCACAAATTAAATCGTGTGACCATTTTATACAAATTCAAACTATTGCTATTATGTTGTTACAAAATTAAACTTTTTGTGACTGTTTTGTACAAGGTTCAAATGTTTGAACAATCCATCTCAGTTACAATTCGCTCCAATCAAGATATAATGACTTTGTTAATTTAGTGAATGATATGATCGTAATAAATGATGACAATACTCGTAAAAAAACAAATTATGATAGTGAGGGAATTCAACTCCTCGCAATTGGGTTACATAATGTTTTTTAGTTGAAGAAACTTGGCCTACTTTCTTACTTTCTGTATTAAAATTGAAAGATAAACAGAGGACATTCTTATTCGGAAAAACAAGTATATTGGTGAACATACGATCTGACATCTCATATGTCATTCAAGTGGTTAGTATCATATACTTGATGAACGCACGATCCGACCTCAAAACAGCCACAAACCTTTAATTTGTACAAATTTGGTAACAAAACTTTGAAATTCATATACAAAACGGTTACAAATTAAACAGAAATGACCATATCATACAATTTTAAACTTTTGTTACCTTATTATTAATAATAATTATTATTATGGAAAATAGAAAAACAAACGTCTACAAAAAAAATTAGTGGGCAGCCGAGATACAATATGGGTCCCACTCCTTTAGCTATAGCAAAGTTAAGTCGAGTAAAAATGTATGCAGCTGCTCGAGCCCCCCACATCATGTGACACGGAGAATTTCTGGATCTGCTTGAGCAAAGCCCGTCGTTACCTTATCATTACAAATTAAAAATTTGCAACCGTTTTGTAATAAGTGCAAAGATTTCGTTTATGCTAATTACTCGTTTTTCCACCGTTCATACGCTGCCGTTTCGCGTAGTGGCTTCCGGCAAACGACGGGCCGTTTATGGTGTGAGGTTGGACTTGGGCCTGTTTCCGTCTTAACGGATTTTATATTATTGGGCCTCGGCCTGTCTAGGCGGCATATATCGAAAGAATCTGTGAACCCGAGTTTCAGAATCTTAATGGAGTTTTATGGGCTTAATTGCAAGTTTGGTCACTCGAATTGCTATAAAATTTCACGTTTGCCACTCAAATTAATTTATTCCATTTATAGTCACTCGAATTAGTTGAACAGTTCAAGTTCGGTCACTCTCCGTTAACCTCCGTTAACTTTGACTGACGTGGCGGTCAACTCAGACAGTTGATCGTTAAATGTGTGACATGGCAAATAAAAAATAATTAAAAAATAAAAATTAAATTTTTAGAAATTACACATCATTATCACAAAAAATTATAATTATAAAAAAATGAAAGAGTAGCATAAACCGTAAAATCCGCAGATCGGGAACCGATCGCCGCCATTTTCCCGCTCCCGATTCAATTTCGGATCACATTGTTCCGTTTGTGGCTCTCTATTCTAGTATTCTTTCACTCCGGCCAGATGCTGATTTTCTCCTTCTCGTACTTCATGTACAACGCCGGCACCGCAGCCACGAATTAGATCTGGACGAGGACGAGGACGATCGACGGGGTGTGGTAGCTGAGCACGCCCTTCCCCGTCGCCAGCTCCAGCAGCAGCAGCACCGCCAGCCCGAGAAACGCGATCCGCCCGTTCAACCTCTCGCTGTAAGGAGTGAATCCGAATTCCACTTTCAAGCCTGCCGAGACCGGCTCCTTTAGCGGGACCGGAGGCAGGTAGAGGGTCGCGCCGGAGGATTTCGAGGAGGCTCCCTGCTTTCTGGCCTTCCGCATCTCCGCTTTCTTCCCCGTTGATTGGATAAGGTTTCCTTCTCCCTCGTGGTGCTCTATCCATTTCTTTCATACTTGTCATCAAAGAGTAATTGGCCGGAAACAGTTCCTCTTTTTTTCATTTTTTATAATTATAATTTTTTGTGATAATGATGTGTAATTTCTTAAAATTTAATTTTTTTTGCCACGTCACACATTTAACGGTCAACTGTCAGAGTTGACCGCCACGTCAGTCAAAGTTAACGGAGGTTAACGGAGAGTGACCGAACTTGAACTGTTCAACTAATTCGAGTGACTATAAATGGAATAAATTAATTTGAGTGGCAAACGTGAAATTTTATAGCAATTCGAGTGACCAAACTTGCAATTAAGCCGAGTTTTATGCTTTGCCTGGCATGGAAGCAAGGTGAATCCATTATTCCATTTGTAGAACAAATAATTGATCTACCTTTCATTTGGTAGCTCAAACAACCATCACATTCTTGAGAGACGGAGTGTTCCTGAATTTCAATACATCCCTCCCCTGTAACCTTTCGTGTAAAACAGAGTTACGATTACCTATACCGTAAATGTTATTATACAAATCAATTCGTCTCAATAACTATTAACTAGAATTGTTACCAAACCAATAATGGATTGATTTCGGAGCACTCCATGCCATCCACGTGGATCGAAATTCCAGGCAATCGATCTAATGCGTAGATCCCGGTGTTTCGTTCAGTGAATCCACGGTCTCAGTTCATCCTCTGCATCAAAATTTTGGAAGAACTTGACTGCGTTTACGAGGAAGTGGGGAAAAGAGGAGCAAGTTGCAAGAGAGAACAGCCCGGATAAGAAAGCATGAAAATAGCTGTGCCGACGCCAGCTAAGGGGGAAAAAACATTCTTATCTTCAACTCTAAGGCCGGTTTTATTTATTACAGAAAAGAAAATTGCGATTCTCAATTTCTTTTTTATTGGCTTTAGTTACAACAACCAATCATAGTCCAGCTGATTGTATTATTTTGATCATTATTAATCATTTTATCAGCAAAATGAGAATTTGGGTTGTTATATAAGCGGCTTGTGGTGGGCAAAAATGGTTGCTTTTTTCAGAAACGAACCAGTACTGCTCCTTGTGAAGGGAAAGAAACAGGGGAGAAGGAAGAAAGAGGAGTTTCTCGCTCTAGTTTCCCTGTCTGATTCGAGCTATTCTCAGAAGTTCAGATCCAGGAAGTGAAGAAGAAGAAAGACGAAGAAGATGATGGAACTATTCATGCTAGGTTGCACTGGAGTAGTTGTGTTCCTTCACGGAGCTAATTTCTTCTTCCACGCTCTGTCCCACCATCTCGCCATCCGCTCTATCAGGTAAACCCCCTCCCCACTTCTTCTTTCGATTTCTTTCCTTCCCGGTTCAAAATTCGTCGAATTCAGAGACGGTTTCTGGGTTCTAATCCCAATTTCGAAGAAATCGGAAATGAAGATCGAATCTTTGCGCTCGATCTCTGTATCCCGATTCCAACGTTTGCAAGAATTAGTGAAAACAGAGATGGCTGATCTTGACTTCGGCAACTGGGTAATAATTAATGCTCTGTTCTGTTCGTTTTTTCTGTAACAGTTTCTTGGGGTTCATCGCGTGGTAACTAGGAATCGATCTAATTGGAGTCTACTCTCTGTATGGAAAGAAGGGATGAAGATTTGATGAGAGATTTTGAGATCCCCTGTTTTCGTATATACAGAGTTCATCAACTGCTGAAGCTAGCAGCAGGTTTTAGTGTAGTAGAGAGAGTTGCTAATTTGTACTTTGTGCAAAAGGGCTTATCCGCAGTAATAAGACGACGAAGTTATGGCACAATGAGAATGCTACTTCTACATGATTTCTTCTAAATTAAACCAGTTAGCGAGATGATATTTGGTGACATATCCATCATTCAGAGCATTTTGGTGGTTGTCTGGTTCTTAAGTTCTTGATAAGATGAATGATTGGATGAAGATGAGAATGTTATTTTTTAATATTAAAATGATAGAAGATAACAATATAAATCTGAGTTCATGAAGCCGACCATTCAATCATCCATAGAAACCAAGAAAGGAGTTCAGGAATTGGACAACTACTGCGGTCCAGTTTTCTATTCAATGATTCACCAAATTCATTGTCTCTTTGTGTTTAACTTCTGGCCAAGTGCATAGTAGGACTTCAGTAATATGCTCTCAACGTCTTTCTAATCAATGAGACGAAAGAGAAGTTAGTAAATGATCTTGATCAATCAAATGTATAAGCTAAATGAATGGATGCACATTAGTAAGTTTGAAACTCAAGCACCAAGTCCCAATTTATCTTTTAAAGACAACGGACAAGTCTTTACGAATTCGTCAACGGTTATTTATCTTTGTTTCGTCCAGATTAATTGTAAAGTTTCGGTCATTACTGTTTTTGCAATGTTTGATGTGATAATGTCTGTTGAAAATGGAGCAACCGAATAGTTACGAATCTCATCTAGTTTTAATAATGCATTCTATATAATTGTTCAACATTGCCAATAACAACTAATGTCTTTCGGTAGAGCACTTCTACTATGCTATATAGCATTGGTGCTTTAATGTACAAGTCAAAGTTGTACCATAACATAAAATGTATAAGTTTAGGTTGTACCATAAAACAATTTGTACCATTATGTTATGGTACAACTTTACAACTTGAAGTTGTACTATCACATAAAGGGACAAGTTCAAGTTGTACCATAAAAGAATTTGTACAATAAGAAGTTGTACCATAACGTAAATGTACAATTTTAAATTGTATCATAAAGACAAAAACCTATAACACCAATACTATATACCATTATAAAATTTCTCCTTTTCCTATTAATTACAAAGCGAGCTTGCAATATGATTTCATTGGAGTCTGAAACAAGAAAAGAAATGGGCCTACAACTTTTGGGCTTTTGCATCGAACAGACTTGTAGGGAAAGTTGGGCCAATTTTGGACAGCAATAAAAAAAAGCCCAATAATGGTCGTTGAGAATCGTCATGGAGGTTGGCGAAGTATAAAATTCAGAATCCAATTTTCCGCAGCCAAGATGGACGATGAACTTCTGCCTCCTCCGTTTCCTCCGACGGAAATCACTTAACCGGCGTTCTTCCCGTGCTTCTAATCCCTTTAATGACACTATTCCCTTCCTCTCCTTCCTCAAAGTTCTAAACTTTTCGCAGACAGCCACTGCGATCAGCCATTACCCTCAGCAATTCACATCTTTCCCAACAAGTTCCAATTGGAACCCTGCTGGACTCTCTCTCTCGTCCATCTCCGACCGCTGCTCCCGCCTTCTCTCGCTATGCACTGCTTCAAAATCCTTGGCCCCAGCCATGGAAGTGCACACCCATTTGATCACACTCGGCCTCCATCAAGACGCAAGGCTAAGAAACCTCGTGGTTAATGTCTACTCGAAGTGCAGGTGCTTCGGCTACGCACGCAAGCTGCTCGACGAAAGTCCTGAACCAGACTTGATATCCTGGTCCGCCTTGATTTCGGGGTATTCGCAGAATGGGTTCGGTCAGGAGGCGATCTCGGCTTTCCGCGAGATGCATTCGCTGGGGGTTAAGTGTAACGAATTCGCTTTCCCCAGTGTGTTCAAGGCTTGTACTCTCGCCAGTGATTTCAGGCTAGGGAGGCAGGTCCATGGGACAGTGGTCGTCACAGGGTTCGAGAACGACGAGTTTGTTTTGAACAGTATGGTCGTTCTGTATGCAAAATGTGGGGAGATTGCGGACTCGACGAGGATCTTTGATGCAATCCCACGCAGGACTGTTGTCTCCTGGAATGCTTTGCTGAACTGCTACGTGCAGCGTGATTCGTTTGGGGAGGCGGTGGAGTTGTTTCAGGACATGATTGTGAGCCAAACACAGCCTAACGAGTTCACATTGTCGACTATGATAAACGCCTGCACTGGCTTGGAGGATGGTAGGCAGGGAAGGAAAATTCACGGGTACTTGATAAAGCTTGGTTATGACTTGGATTTATTCTCTGCAAATGCTCTGGTTGACATGTATGCAAAAGTAGGAACTCTAAAAGATTCTGTCAGTGTCTTCAATGGAATAGCAAAAGCTGACATTGTTTCATGGAATGCTGTTATTGCTGGTTGTGTGCTTCTTGAGTCGCACGATTGTGCGTTGGAGTTGTTCAGGGAGATGAACAAAGAGTCTGGTGTCTCACCAAATACATTTACTTTGTCTAGCGCTCTCAAAGCTTGCGCTGGAGCTGGAAATAGAGAACCGGGAAGACAATTGCACGCTTACTTGATGAGGAGGGATTTGGGACTAGATACATTTTTGGGGGTTGGGCTAGTGGATTTATATGCAAAGAGTGGCTACATGGTTGATGCAAGGTTAGTTTTTAACGTAATTCCTGAAAAAGACTTGATTGCTTGGAATGCTGTTATCTCTGGACATTCACATAATGGAGAAGATGTTGAAGCTGTTTCTCTTTTCCCTCTGATGTACGGGGAAGGAGTAGGAGTCAACCAGACAACTCTATCAACAGTTCTCAAATCCATAGCTAGCTTGCAGGCTAGCCACATTTGCAGGCAAATGCATGCACTTTCTCTGAAATCAGGCTTTGAATATAATAATTATATAGTAAACGGCCTCGTTGATGCTTATGGAAAATGTGGACAGTCAGAAGATGCATCAAGGGTATTTAAGGAAAGTCAAACTTCAGATTTGTTGGTTTTCACTTCTATGATAACCGTTTATTCTCAAGATGGGCAAGGTGAAGAAGCTCTTAAGCTATATTTGGAAATGCAGAGTCAAGGTATCAAGCCAGATGCATTTGTTTACAGCTCTCTCTTCAACGCCTGTGCTAGTTTGTCTGCGTATGAACAAGCAAAACAAGTTCACGTCCAAGTACTGAAGCTAGGGTTCATAAACGATATCTTTGCTGGGAATTCTCTTGTCAATAGTTATGCCAAATGTGGGAGCATAGATGACGCAGAACGTGCCTTCCGTGAAATACCAGAAAGAAGTATAGTCTCATGGTCTGCAATGATAGGAGGAATGGCTCAACATGGGCACGGGAGACTGGCCCTCCAAATGTTCAATGAAATGCTGAAAGAGGGTGTTGCTCCTAATCACATAACTCTAGTAAGTGTCCTTTGTGCTTGCAACCATGCAGGCTTGGTAACTGATGCCAAGAGATATTTCTCATCAATGGAGGAGCTATTTTCTGTTCAACCTATGGAAGAGCACTATGCATGTATGATCGATATTCTCGGCCGAGCTGGGAAGCTTGATGAGGCAATGGAGCTTGTAAACACAATGCCTTACGAAGCTAATGCTGCAGTATGGGGTGCACTTCTTGGTGCTGCTAGGATACATAAGAATGTCGACCTCGGGAGTAAAGCTGCTGAAATGCTTATCAATCTGGAACCAGAAAAATCGGGTACCCACATTCTTCTTGCAAATATTTATGCATCAGCTGGGATGTGGGATGGGGTAGCAAAGATAAGGAAAGTTATGAAAGACAGTAACGTGAAGAAGGAGCCTGGAATGAGTTGGATGGAGATAAAGGACAAAGTCCACACCTTTATAGTTGGTGATAGAAGCCATCCTAGAGGCAAAGAAATATATGCTAAGCTCGAGGAGCTCAGTGAGCCTTTGAGAAAAGCAGGCTATGTTCCCATGGTGGAAACTGATCTTCATGATGTTGAAGAAAGGGAAAAGGCTAAGCTGTTGTACCACCACAGCGAGAAACTTGCAGTGGCTTTTGGACTGATTGCTACCCCTCCTGGAGCTCCCATTAGGGTGAAGAAGAACTTACGGATTTGCTTGGACTGCCATACTGCAATCAAGTTGGTTTCGAAGATTGCTTCGAGGGAAATCATCGTCAGAGATATCAACAGGTTCCATCACTTCAGAGATGGTTTGTGTTCTTGTGGAGATTACTGGTAAAAGGTTGCTCTCTGCATTTTCTGCTATGTATAATACTGTTGTAGCACATGTAACAACTAACAAATGTAGTCTTTTACAATTAGAAACCAAAAAAATTAACTCTACATAGATTCTGTGCAGTTGTTTTCTACTGGAGTTTTTTTTCTGTTTCTCATATCAGCATCATAGACTCTTCCGACATAACAGCCAGCAACGAGTACTTCCCCTTGATCGAAATTTTGCCCTCCTCAACACACAACTTCGCACCGGTCATAACCCAATACCCAGGAGGGTCTTCTGGCCCTCTCATCATCTCCTTAGTATCCACAAAATTCGACATTTTTGGCGCCTTCATTGGCATTGGAGGCCCCCCTGGAAACACAGCAGAGTTCAGATCCACCTTCACAGGCAGTTCTTCATTCGGGTTCATCAAAGCCGTACTAAACCTGGAACTGATCAGCAGCGACGAGAAGATCCCTGATTTCCTTGACATGGTAGAAGGCCCGTCCCATTCCGACCTTCGAATCCTAGCATTCGCCACCATTGAGAACCCGAGCCTCAAGTACAGAACTTTCTTGATCCCAACCATCTTGACCTCGAACCAAGCCTTGGTCACGATGGATGCGGAGTCATCGATTCGAGCTCCATTATACTGCACCGGTGCAGTGCAGACGTGGGAGAATATGCTCCAATTCACAGCCTCCAAGTAGCCTCTCTCGGGCTCATCTGAGGGGTCGTGGCTGTGGTCGTCGAAGAGTTGGAGAGTGTCTGGTAGGGATGAGAGGTGCTGTAGATGAATACCTAAGTGGTCAGCTCTTTTACCTTCCAAGTATAGCCGGATTCCTGTCACTGGCCGGTTTCCTGAATCAACCTGCAGATTTCCATGATTCCTGAGAAGTCAGATCCATGAAGAAAGTTGTTTTCTGTTTCTTATTACTCTGCTGTTTCAAAGACTAAAACTTACCGTTGCAGTGTTTACATACAGTTTAGGGCCCATGAAGCTGAACCGAAGAGAAGGTGAAGCATGTTTTCTCCGCCGGAGAGTAAGCGGCAGATCACCATAAACTGGCGCCCATTGACGAGGCAACTGAAACTCCAAGAACTGCTGAAGTTCCTCTATGGGTGGTTTATCTGCGACAATAAGCAAACTAACTTCAACACCCTCCAAACCCTATACTTCCTACGAATCCAGTTCCGACGAAATCAAATCCTTACATCGTAGGTAGAGATTGACAGCATGAGTCAAGAATCCATTGCCACGGACGCCACTCAACAGGGAAGTGATGGGAACAAGTGACATGGAAATGACATTGGGCGACTCAACTATCGTTGAGAGCCACTCATTATGGCTCTGTCCAATGTCCATTCCTCCCCTTCTAATTGCAACACTTACGAGATCCTGCAGAGAAAAGCCAAACCAGACTTCGATTAGAAACCCACCACTAAAAATGCAAAACCTCATCAGGAAAAGTGCAAAGAGCAAAAACTGCAGAAGAAGCTAACCTCGCTCTTTAAGGAAGTGATTACAGGCGGCCTAACTGAATTAGCAGCATACAGCAGATGCATTCCCAATGGCATAGGTTGTGCAGCCTGAAACACAAATGGAAAAGATTCTGACTTTATCGCCACCAATGATTGCCCATTAAACTTCCAATTCATGGTTCATGTCTTCAGCCTACCTTTGGTTTAGCAGAAGACGCTTCAGAAGAATCCTGAGAATATCTGTCATCAGCTAGCTGCTTCAGCAACTTCTGGACTTCAGTGGGATCAAGATTCGATCTTTTCAGCTGCTTCAAATGGATGGCGTCTTTCCCACCCATTTTCACCCCAACCACGATATGGGTTCCGTATTTCTCAATAAACCTGCCATTACCCATATCAGTAAAAAAAAAAAAACTGCCATTACCCATATCAGAAAACTCAAGAACAGGAAACTTACTCGGCAAGAGCTGCCGGATCCCAGGAATTGGGAACTTCAGCTTTGACACTCTCCGACAGCGATAAATGCGACCTTTCCAGCTCGACGTTGTACAGAGTGATGAACCATCCATCAAAAGACAGCGTTTTGACCGAGCCGGCGTCCTTCGCCCAGCAGCTCTTGAAGTCGAACATCGCGTTAAACATCCCCGTCGGGATTTTGCCGGATAAAGATAGCTCCTGATTGAACTTCTCCGACATCTAACACAAACCCAGAAAGCAAAAATTAGTGAAGAAATGGGGGGGGCCCAATTTCCCCGCCGGCGGCGGGAGTTACGGATCCGGACTCTGTACCTGGTTGAATGAAATGACGTCGGATCGGAACCTGGTCCGCTCGCCCTTATCGCACTTGATTCCGCTCCAGACGTTGTGGACGACGGTCCCGCCGGGGACGACGAGGTCCCGGGTCGGCAGGTTCGGGTCGAGCCGGATCAGTTTCGACCCAGACGGACCCGGCTTGCAGGCCGACAATCGGAGGTCTTTCGTCAAGTCGTACCCGAGTCCGATCGCCGAGACGGCCTTCTCGGCCGCGGTTTGCGGGTCCAGGCGTCTCACCGACATGGCTCCGCCGGCCGCCGCCGATCAGAGTGTGGGAAACGGAAAAGGAAATCCCCAGTGACCTTTGAGATCGAATCAAGTCGAATTTCCCAAATTGGAGCCAAAGACCTTGTGGGTTTTCTATGAAGAAGTAATAGAAGGAGTTGCAATAGCAGAAAGAGACCCATTGTTGAAACGGTCTTCCGGGTTTAAAAAAATTGCTGAAGTCTTCGTCTTGCAAAATTATTTTTTGTCTGATTTTGGATATAAATTTTTTTGGGGAGGGTTTAGTTTAGGGTTTAATCAATGGAGAACGTTCGGGGCGGGTTGAAATGTTCCTGTGAAAGTGACCACCGGCGGGCCCGGCGACTGACGGGGAGATTCTGTTTTCCGGCCGGGCTTTTTCTTTAGTGTTGACTTTCAAACTCACACACACAGTGTAAAAATGGCGAACACGGAGCCTAGAGCAGAGTGGCGGCTGAATTAAGTAACCGAAAGGTCCACGTGGAGGATTGGGATTCGTGGGATTCAAGCTTTTTCGTTATCCTTTGGCGCGGTCCTAAAGCAAGGTATAAACTTTGACGCCTTTTTTCTAAGTTGTAGTAGAAATTTCCAAGTTACTTTCTTGATTCTTCCCTCATGCATATCATCACTATCATATGGGAAATTGATTATAAACTTTCCAATAATCTCATCATGTTTATGAAATTAAAATTATGTAACGCAGCGTCGTAGTCAGACTTTGAATGGACTGGGGTCTTTAAAAATTTCGAGGTAAATAGGGTTCTTACATGAGGTAATATCGACAAAAATATGGAGTCCTACATTTCAAAAATCATGCTAAAACACATATATTTAAAGGGTTTTGGTACCCAACTTTTTGCTAAGTGGGGTCCTAGAACTCTTAAGTCTTAACCTCAAAGGCTCCCTCTGCCACAGATGTTACGTACTAGTTATATAAAAAAAAAATTCATTTGGTTTGTAAAAAGAATTGTATTGAGGAGTCATCCTGCTCATTCGAAGTGAAAGCGCAAACGAGTTTATAGTTCAACATGTAATAACTCCTCTAATTAACTGTTGAGTTACTTACTCTAAACTCAAAACTAATAAATATTTAAACCGAAGTCCTTATGATGGGTGTGATTGTTACAATTAGAATGGTAGAAATGTGTGTTAGTAAGGAAATTATATAAAGGTACTTTGGTAATGGAAGATAATATGTGTATTTGGTATATAATTCTTCTCAAAACACTCCAAGCATTCATTTTCTTAAATTACATTCGTGTGAATTAAACGGTAGATTTCAATAAAATAGTATGACCTAATCATGACTAGCATTATTTTTCCACGATCGGCTGCGTCGTTTGCTCTTTGGAGTGGCCTGTGGGGCTATATCTTGTCGAAATGGAAATGAGGCCCTACTCCACAAAAGCATTAGGTTTGGTCCGTTTGGAGCTTGGTTATATTTATTAAATACTTAAACTATCAACCCTGACGTACTTTTTATTGACTTGATAATTGATGACATAGTAGGAGTTGGTTTCTTTTCTTTATGTAGTTGTTGGCTAATAGAACGTCAAAGATATGCGGTAAAAATAAACAACTGATTTGGGTTAGTTTCAATGTATTAGTTGATTAATTTGGTACCAGATGTGCGTACTTAAGTGCATCGTATTGTTTGATACATGCCAATTTATTTGATGATCAGTCCTATACCAATGTATAACCACGAAAAGTTTTAAATCACTATATACCATTCTGAAATAGAAATCACAATCACAAATTTTCATTGATTTACTAGGTTAAGAGGATTTGTTTCATAAAAATTGCTTGAAATTATTAAATTAACAACCACTGTAGGCTGCGTATCAAGATTCAAGAACGAAGCCGAACTAATTAGTTATGCTCCCAATAAGCCCAACCATAAATTAGGCCGTCAGTTGAGTCTCGTCCTCAGTTAGCGGGCTAGGCCTACAGGCCCAAACTTTACTTGAGAATAACACGAATTCCGATACTGGAAACAAAATGGGCTGTAATGATGGGCCTCATACGACCTCGCCGCAACGGATTGAATAAGTTTTTTTCTTACACATATAATGGGCCAATCAATTTCTTGCCCACCGTATGCTTGCATATTCACAAGAAAAAAACGGTTTCTGCGATTTGCCCTAAGAAATTAGTCACTATGATTGGCATTTGATATCCATCTCGGATACACCAATAGTAAGAGCTTCTAATACAAGGTACCCATACTCGTCCCGCCGAGGACCATACACGGACGGCTAATATCCCATCGTTAAACAGATCAGACGAATCTAATAAAATTTATCATTTTTGTTCATAAACACTTGCTTAATCCGACATTTTCGGTTCTTGCAGTTTAGGGTCACATATTATTGGAAACAAGGTACAAAAAGTCCGATTCTAGAAGGGAGCACAGCTTAAACGTGACAAAATTCTGCAGCTAGCTAGCAAGCAAGCAACCCCAGTGTTTTAATTTATTCATTATTCGATCCCAACAATAATAATAGCAACTTCAAAATTGTAAAGAAGTCCAAGTCCACCCAAATATGTCCCACTGATTTGATTTTATTTGATTTTGCTCACTCGTTTTCTCAATTATGTCTCTTTCTCTCCCACCTTCCTTCTCTTCTATGTGTGTGTTCTTCAACACCTCATAAATTATGAGAGTTCTATACAAGGATTAAAAACTCAGGTAAGGAGGGTTCTGACTATAATTTTTTTTATTGGAAGTGAAAGTGATAGACGGTTCTTAGTGGTAAGAAATAGTTGAGACATGATTAAACCAAAATTTCAGTACAAAATACTCTATTGCTGACAATTTCATGTACAATCTTGGTCCTTGAATATGGTTTTTCAATTATTAATTTATATTTACATTTCTTAATTACTTCAACAGATTAAAAGATAACTAAACCAACTGATCCCAACTTAGAGATAACATTAGATAACATAAATAAAGCTCCTTCACTGGTAAAATTGCGACAGGAGACATGCATTTGCCCCTCTCTTTCCTCATAGTTTCGTTCATATTCACATCTTCGCACGCCTCAATTAGTGGCTAATTAAAGCTTCGGCCCCTCTAATTAATAATTAATAAATCAAGGTCGATTATTTAATCTCACATGTCCGGCCAATCACCTGATAGATCAGTGCCTTTAGTAACTTGTTGCCGTTTACTTTTGACTTGAATCTTGTTACATTGTTTCGGTGGCCTAATGGAGTTATGGCTTGGCTCTTCGAAGCAAGATAATAAAAGATGGGTTAGACATTAAACATAACGACAATCGAGTTGAACTTTTATTTTGGACGAGAGAGACGATAATAGCCCTACCATTCTCCCACTTTTTATTAGCTCCTTGCTAAATCAGCTACATTTTATAACAGGGATGACAATTTCGACCTGATCCGATTTACCCGACTCGTTTGATCTGTTTTGGGACGGGTCAAACTCGCCTCGTAGGCGGGGCGGAGCGGGTATGTGTACCTTTCATTGACCCGACCTGCCCTGACCCACCCCATTCTCGACTCGTTCTTGCCTAAATTACATATAATATTAGTCAAATTACTTAAGATTTTCCTCTTGTTACATTATATTTTAGCTATAATAAAGTTGTAAATAAGTGAAACCCTCAATTTCTTCAATAATTTAACTACATTTTATCATATTATGGTTTCTTTCTTGGTCTTTCAATGAAAAGAACGAATATTTCTACTGTTTTTCACATAAATTACATACCCAATGGGTCGGCCTGCCCCGACCCGCGTCCCGTGATAAATTACCCGACCTATACCCGACCTGCCATGGGGCGGGTATGGGTATCGAGATACCCGCCCCGGACCTGCCCTTTGCCATTCCTATTTTATAACATATAATCAAGAATCAATAGAGAGCAATATTGTAACTGATCATCATAGATTACACATAACTCCACCATAATTGTCTATATCCGCACCAAAGCACATTGAAAAGCATGTGTAGAATTGGATTTATAGATTGGGTATTCGTCTTGAAAACCAAAATCGAGAAGTAACATTATCGCTAGAATCAAATGATTTGAGTTATGAAGGTGTTTATTCTTTCTTCTGTACATAATGGTATCCCGATCTCATATACGAACTTTCATTACGGACATGACAAGATATGATCTAAGAAAGTTTTATATCGAATCCTTGTAGTCAACAAATTACATGTCAATCAGAGTGAACGAATCAGCTCAAAATTAATCTGTCTGTATATGGAGGAAGGATTATGTAGTGAATTACTGGGAAGAAGATTCCAAGGAAGACAAATGAGAATATGAGATGTGCCGTCCGCAGCTACTAATAGAAAATTGTGTATGAACACAGGCCAAGACAACACAAGTAAGGACAGATCTAGAGCCCTGCCGTTCTGAGTTGGTGTTTTGTGGCTGCTAATGTACGTGTATTTATATTAATAGTCGAATAAATAAATTTCAATAAATAAACTCTAACACTAATTAAATATTTTCCAAAAAAGCTTGGTTCTGGATATCGACTATACTCCCTCTCTTGTAACAAGAGAAATATTGTCTTATTCTTCAACGGCTTCATGTACATCTTAATTAAAACAATTACTAATTTTTAAAAAGGGAAAACTTAACCTAGATTGATGGACTTTCTAATTATCTTATCGTAGTCGAGGTAACCAACGAAAACGTAAATCAAAACAGTTTTTTTTCTTTTGGATTACATTCAAATTCGATTCAGTTTGGAGGAAATGCAATTTGATTCGTTGAGTACAAGCAAACACCAAACGAATTCGCGAAGAGAACGTTCTGAATTTTGTGCTTGCTTATCATTAATGGCTAGTTTTCATCTTTTGGTAATCCATTCCACTATTAATTAGAATATGATACTCTATTTTTTTTCTTCTTTCTGTCTGTTAATTATACGTGTTTTCCGGCATTTTAAAACTGCAACATTTCTACATAATTTTAATGTGTTAATAAATTAGGTAATTTATGATAATGCATTCAACCTCTTATTTGACTGATAAAATATAAATGGTAAGTGTGGTATTTAACTATTTATGAAACGGGAAATTAGAAAGAAAAAAAAAAGCAAATATAAAGCCTTTCCCATTCAACGACAATCACGGCAACAGGCTGCCCAGCCGAATGACACGTATACAATTGCCGTGCCTTAAGCCAAACGGCGCCGTCCAATCCATCAGGTTCGCCGAACGAACGACGACAGAAATCAGGATAAAGACTGATTTATTTATGTTACTTCGTTAACGTACAAAAGCTGTAATTTATAAATAACCAATTATCCTACAAAAAAGAATACTCAATTAAAATGACGTTAAAGCAAATAAATCTCAACATAGACGCGTGGACCTTTTCGGGCAGGCAAAGCATCGGGGGCGGCGCGGGCTGCCGGCAGCCAATAAATTAGGTGAGTAATGTAATAAAAATAAATTAATAACAAAAATCAATTACTTAAATTTAGGGATGACAACAAAACCCGAACCCACGGGTACCCACCCAACCCAATCCGGTCAACGCGGGTAAAACCAATGTTGACGGGTTTTGGATCGGGTTAGGGTTTAAACCCGCTACACTATTCACCGAGTTGGGTTGGGTTTGGGTTTAGGTAAACCCGCCCCATGGGTACCCGCCCACACATATAATTACGTTCGCGGTATATTTAATATTCTAAATAATATATCTTCTTTAAACAACTAATATTATTTATGTTTGTGGAGACATGTATAATTTGTTCTTTCTAATTATTTAGAATGAAGTTGATATTATGGAGTGGAGAGTGAAGAAACTTATTTGACGAGGAAGAAGATTTCAATTAATCTTGTTGTCTATAGATATTTATCTTTAATTTTGAACAATTTGTATTGATCATTTGCGGTTTGCTTGTATGTTCTAGATTGGTATCTTTTGTATGAATAATTCGTATGAGAAAATTGATGTTAAACTTTTATTTTGAAAGAAATTTGTTATTGTAAATTTTTACCACAAAAACCCACGGGTACCCATGAACCCGCGGATACCCAGCAGGTTGGGTTGGGTTTGAGTTTTTCAAAACCAGCGGGTTTTACCCCGGATTTTTTTGGCGGATAAACCCATGGGTTTGGGTTTGACAAAACCCGCCCCAACCCGACCCATTGCCATCCCTACTTAAATTATGTATCTTCTGGAGGCAGGTTGCTATTTGGAAACACAATTAGTTCATTAATTAAATATTAATGCTTCATTTTCTTATTTATTGCCGCCAATAAACATCCGGATTCGGAATCCCCATTTCCAGCACAAATACGGCTCTATGGCTCTATCCATTGTTATGGACGTCGCCGATTAATTATAATTTATTTATTTATCTAATTATAAATGCGGAGTTTTTTGTATAATGGAAAACCGACTGAAGTTTATAGTTTTCCTTTGGTTTTCTGAATAGGGAGGCCAGCGTTTTGACCAATTCGGAATTGACATTTTTCCAACTTATATGGTAGATTGAATTACTACACTTTAATTTACTCGTAAAAATAACCATGTACTTACAAAATAATAAAAATAATAAATCAGAAGATAACATATATAAAATAAAATTACTATTATAGTTAGGTCTTGACAAAACTTGAATCGATCGAGGGAGGGAGACCGTCTTTTTACAAACTTTCCCCGGCACATTTTGCTTTGTTATAATACAACAATGGCTCCTCGATTAACTACTAATTAATTAGCAGCAGCATGCTGCCAGTGCGACAATAAAAATTATTATTATTATTATATTATGGCCGTCGGCGCATAAATGAGTACTCTTGCGAATTATAATATAAACCGTATAAGTTAATGTGTTAATTAAAGGATTAGATGCGAATCGGTTCGCGGGGCATATTATGGGTCGGGAATTCGGTCATAATGTTGAATGCCCATGTTTGCCCAAATCAGATTCACTTTCGCTTTACCAATAAATGGAATCAAACCGCCGCAGTAATAATAAGTGGAGGTATGGGTTGGGCGGCAGGCAGGCAAGAATCATAATTTTTCTACCAACTGTGTTTCGATCCGGTTTTTTGTGGGTATTAGAGTGGTTGACGGGTTCGGTTCGGCCAACCACTTTGCTGTGATGGGTTTGGCTACTTAGTGTACCGTTACTGAGTTCTGTTTTTTTCAAGTAGCTCTTGTTTTGACACACTTTAGATTGCATTTGAACTATGATTTTATAGCTCGTAGGCAACTACGTTTATACACCTTGAATCATTGAATAATTCGAACCATCACGTTTTGTTCAACCATGTATTTGTCTGTGTCTTCAAGATAGAACGAAGAAAATCACATAAATCTCGTTGCATTTTTATCGTTTAATGGATTTCTACATTCTGCTCATGGCTTCACCAACTTCTCCACAATCCCCCCACCGGAGTCGTTTGTTCAGATCGAACCAAACAAAATCCATTAGTTCCTACACCGGTCAAACCCGTCTCTTATCGATCCGAACCGATCATATGCCGCCACCGAGTGGGTTGGTAAACAGGAAAGGGGGAGGAAGAGCGTGCTAGACACGGCGGAATGGATCGAGTGAAATAAATAATAGGAAAACGCCGGGCCGAAAAAAAATTAAAAAAATGGCGTTGTGCGGGCAGTTGGGGGAATTGTCAGGACACAGAGCCCAGCAAAGCAAACAGAGAGAGTACCGTAGGGACGACTGAATCACTTCCTTCTTAAATTTAGGCGGTGGGTTAACTTCTCACTGTAGAGAGCCTACACGGGACACGCGTCGCCTCACCATTGGGCACCTCATCCGCTTCCCCCGCCCTCTCTCTCACGGTCCACACGAGCGGTTCAAAGGGATAAAGGCGTGGGGCTGGTTGGCTCCTTCCTTCCCAATAAAAAAGAAAAAAGAAAAAAAAAGGAGGCTATAATCAAAAGGCGGCCCATCACAAGAATGGGGTGGGAAATATGGATCCAAGTCACGCGGCGAGATAGCAGAATCTGCCGACAACTTGTTCAAACTCCCGTCTTTCCCTTTCCCCCCACGCGCCCCTCCCTAATTTCCCGTCTTCTTCTTAATCCCCCTTATTACACTCCTAAACAAACCCCCCCCCCCCCCCCCCCCCCACCGCACAATTCGGACACACTGAATAATAATTTTAGGAGACAGGGCTGCCTTTTCCAGTTTCCTAGCGCATATTAAAAAAATGTGCCGAAATTAAAAAAAAATAAAACTTATATCGGATTAATTAGTTGACGTCAGTACAGCCTAACAACGTCTCATAAATTTACGATATGTTCATGTCACTGGATTATATTTCATGATAACTGATCAGTTTTTAACCAGTATTTTGATAACTTATTCGGTGGTTAAAAACAAGCTAGAACAGCACATGATTAGCGGCAGCGGGGAAATTAGGGAGAGATTGGAGCCGACGCGCCGGCATAGATGGAGTGGGAGAAGGGGGGACAAACATCCACCGCACGCAATATACAGTACGATCGCAGCCGTAGGATTGTTAAGCGCATTTAATTAATTAATTAATTGTGGGGAACGGCGAAAGGAGGTGTAGAATACCAGAAATGCCCTTACGGAAATTCAATCCAATGTCCTTGCTGCTCGCTCGACAGCCCACATGCCACGAAATCCGGGCACCACCGCCGCCCCTCCCTCCTTCTCAGTCAAATCCGCCGTTGACTCCCACTTTTTTCTTCTCCCTCTCGCATAAATTCCACGTCAGCACCCACCCCCGCTATATAACAAACCATTCCCCTTTCCCATTCCTCCTCCCTGCTTCCTACCATTCGCTGTAAAAAAATCAACCCTTTTCCTTAATTTTCCTTCTCTTCCCAAACAGAAAAAAAAAAAAAAAACGAATGGCTCCCAGAGAGAAAAACACCACCGCCGCCGTAAAACCGAGCGGCGGCGGGTTGGAGGGCAAGGAGGCGCACTTTCGAGGAGTGAGGAAGAGGCCATGGGGGAGGTACGCCGCCGAGATCAGGGATCCCGGGAAGAAGAGCCGCGTGTGGCTGGGAACCTTCGACACGGCGGAGGAAGCCGCCCGCGCCTACGACGCCGCCGCCCGGGAATTCCGCGGGGCGAAAGCCAAGACCAATTTCCCCTTCCCTGATTCGTTCGTTTCTTCCCCCATTCCGATGGTGAGTAACAAGAAGGGAATCGTCGCCGCCGCCGCCGCCAACCATTTTGTCGCCGGGAAGAGCCGGAGCCCCAGCCAGACGAGCACGGTGGAGTCCTCCAGCAGGGAAGGTCCGGGAGCGCCGCCGCCGATGATGACGTTGATGACCGACTCGTCTCCCCCTCTGGATCTGAATCTCGGTCCCATGGGAGGCGGCGTCCGCTTCCCGTTTCAGCCGATGGCGCCGCCGCCTGCGGCGGCGGCCAACCACCATCCGCATCACGTGTTTTATTACGATGCGATGATGAAGAGCGCGCAGTACCAGCGGATGATGTTCGATCACCATCGTCAGCAGCAGCAGCAATACCACCATCGCCCCCAGGCGATGGTTAGCGGCGGCGGCGGTGTTGGGGTCCAGAGCGATTCAGATTCGTCCTCCGTCGTCGATGCGAACCACCACCAGGCCAGCGATCCAAACGCGACGTCGTCGGCGACGACCAGATCTCTGGATCTGGATCTGAATTTCCCTCCGCCGCCAGAGTCCGCCTGATCTCTGCTTCTTTTTGTTCCCCCTCGCCGGCCGGAGACATGGAATCAACCTAATCTGCCTGTTTTCCCCGTTATAGCTGCCCCTTTTTTTGTTTTATTTTACCGTCCCCTTTCAGAATTAGGGATCCCAAATAGAATTAGCAAAGGAAACAACAAAAAAAATTGTATTCCCACCAGAAAACAAACATAGAAAAAAGGAACTAAGCTTAGTACTCCGGCGAGCCGAGCCGAGCCGGTGATGGTTTATCGATCTGAGATCGGAAAAATAGAAAAACCAGAAACCACCAAGGCCGGCTCCGATCTGTAAAGTAATTAGTAAAAAGTCTGATGGAAGGAAGGATCGATCTCCCTCCCCTGTTTTTTTGCGACGAGAGAATTACTCTTGTTGTTCATAACTAGTTCGTTCTACTGTACCCTTCCTTCATTTGATCAATGGAAATGAATCGAAAATTCTCAGTTCATTCTTTCAATTCATCTGCTGTTGTTACAATATTTATGCACCGTCGCCGGTGTTGGTTTGGATAAGAGGGAGAAAAAGAAATCGTTTGTTTGAATGGGAATCGCGGCGGTATGCTGCCGGCCGGCAACCGTGATAAGTACGATGCGTTTTTGTTTAATATTTAATTAATTAATTGACATGTTTAATTAAGTAATTAATTAATAATAAAATCAGGGCGGGGGAGGCGTTTGTTGAAAATGATGTCAGGCAGGAAAATGCGGTGTTGGGGTGGTGGGAGGATTTAGGCTTTTGACTGTGGGGGTGATTACGGAGAAACAGGTGTCCTTATTACGGCTTTTACCGACGATTCTCTTCTCTTTCCCGTTCCGTTCCGGGGATTCTTATAGTTAGGCGAAGAAAATGACGTGGAATTAGTTGATTGATCGCTGTAAACAATTTTTTCTTACGCGACCGAATATCTTCAATAAATAAAAATAAAAGACATTTTTTATTTATAATTCAGCTGGTTTTCCGTTTGGGGTCGGTTTCGTCGTCGGCTGAAGCAAACGACGACGTGTAGCGGTGGAAATGGGAGGAGTTGTAGGGCCTTGTCTGTGAGGTATACTTACTCAAGGGAAAGTATCATCGAGATTATCATATCCTAACAACATAAGAAGGGAACAATCCAAGATACCTGTGGCATAGTCTTATGGCAACTAAGAATGTGGTTAAGACTAGCTTCATATGCAAGATTGGAGATGGTGAGCAGGCAACAATATGGTGGGACAAATGGAGATCAGACTCACCAACTTTCCAAATAGAATATGTAGTAAATTAGTCATAGCTTCGGGGATGCAAACAAAGGTATCTCGCCTTATTGAAACATGAATGAGAACATGAATGAGAACATGGCGAAAGGCACCCATACAAAATAACTTCAACCCAGTGAAGGAAGAGAATACTAAAGCTTGCATCCCAAAAACATCAACAATTGATAAGTTGGTTCAAGGTCTGGAGAAGTATGGAAAATGTAGTGAAATATGGGTTTGGGAATTGGAAAAAGTTGCAAAAATGGTGGAAGGGGATACATACATCACAATCGATTGACAATGATGATAAGTAAACGCAATAACTTGGAATTGTTTGATAATTGTTTGAAATTAGCTTCGTTTTGTTGTTGAACACACCAAATTGGAATATAATTTTGGATTAATTGTTTGGGTTCATAATGAGCTTATCGGTCTTTATAACTCCACTATATGTGATAATTAAATACGTAAGGGTTATAGGTATAATATGGCCCTCTATTATGACGTTTTATCAAACATGCCCCTCTACTATTTTTTACATCAAACACGCCCCTGTACTTTGGAAAACTTATCAAACATGCCCTTTTGTTAAAATTTCCATCCAAAAATCGTTAACCAAGACCGAACTTTGGTTTGGGCGACCCAAATATCTAAACTATCTCTAATAATTTCACTTTAGAGTTTTTTTTTTGTTCTTTAGTATAGCCAAATAATTCTAATAATTTCACTTTGATGAGAACCAGAGAAATAAAGCAAGGGTCAAAACTGACATTTCTCCTCCCATTTATCGATGTCAGGTCATCTAAATCTCGGTTCAGCCATTATTGACGATTTTCTCAATGGAAATTTTAACTGAAGGCCATATGTTTGATAGTTTTTCCAAATTACAGGGGCATGTTTGATGTAAAAAATAGTAGAGGGACATGTTTGATAAAACATCATAGTAGAGGGACATATTATACCTATAACCCAATACGTAAGTAAAAAGATTCTGTTGGTAACTTTTTAATTCGTTCACTTTTGTTTGGGATTCCGTATCTCAATGATCATGCATTCTTTAGTGTTGCTTCTAATTATAGTTGTTCAACATATAACTCAATAAGCAATTGAATATTTGATTTCTAAAGAATTTTTTGGGAGAGCATTTCTTAAGCAATTTTAATTAATAAATTTCTAATTGTGCACCAAATTCGAACTTCATAATTAGAATCGGAAAGACACAAGACATATATAACGAAGGTAAAAAATATACATTACATTTAGTTTTATTGTTTCAATCATCTATTATATCCGTATTCATTTTCACAACTTCCGGCCAATGGGCCGGGTCCGGCGCTAGTTATCATAATATCCTCTTCAGTATTGTAGGTGTTACTCGAGAGTGTTTTCATATATGAATAAAATGGTATGCATTCTTCTCATGATTCAATGGATTAAGAACAAGGAAGAGGTTATGATCTGCACTTGATTGTTGTTTTTTCTGTGTGTTAATCGTTATAGAGCACACAATTAGCTTTTTTTATTACCGACTTCTTTGCACGTGGATATCACGTGGTTTGCTGCTTCTGCGGTGATTCTTGTGCAACTCTAGCTGGTTAGTCATAGACTTTTTTTTTTGAATAATACTTTCATTCATTCAAGCCCAAAAGAGGCAGAGAAGCTACAACATGCTGGAAATTACAACCAAGACAGAGAGCCAATTGGCGTGGAGGGTATTAAGTCTACAGTTGTGAGCAACCCAATCAGCTTCTTTGTTGTTCGATCGACAAGTGAAGGAGACATGGATCCACTGGGAGCTGCGCAGGATGCTGGTGATAGAGGAGAGGGTAGCATAACAACGCCAAGGCCAAGTTGCCGGGTCGCTGTGAATGGCATCAACCAACATCTTGCAGTCTGAACGGATCATCGAGGGAACATGATCATTGGTTGCAAAAAGACAAGCCTCAAGGATGGCTGTAGCTTCGGCCTCAATCGGGGAAGAACAAATGATCCTTCCAGCCTTCCCATCGCAAATCTGCCCGTTAGAGTCGGTAATAACCACTCCGAAAGCCGCCGTCTGTGATTCACATTCAAACGAACCATCACAGTGAATCTGTCGAAGATTGCTAGGCGGTGGACATGATTGAGATGGGAGAACTCGAGGCTGTGGAGAAGGGGCAGGATGACGAGGAGTGAAATGGGGTTCTGCTGCTTCCCGGAAAGCACAAATCGAAGTGAATGTTGGTGACAGTGGAGCTCCTCGAAAAATACTCTCATTTCGAGCCTTCCAAATGTTCCAGATGCAGAAAATGAGGCGGCGGATGGAAGACTGCTCCGCGTGGTTTTTCAGAGCGAAAATCCATTGAGTGAGATTATGGGGAGGAGTAAATGAGGGGAGAACCTTATTCCAGGTTTCAGCGGCATGAGGGCAGAGGAACATGCAATGGATGGAGGATTCTTCCGCAGATCTGCAGAGCTGACATGCCGGAGAAGGTGCACATCTGCGCCGAAATAGGTTGAGGTTGGTCGCCAGAGCGTTTCGGATGCATCTCCACATGAAAAATCTGATTTTTGGAGGAAGCTTGAGAGACCAGAGCCATTTCCAATTGTCGTTAGAAGCAGGCATGTTGAGGTCATGATGGTTGGTCTGGTTTTGTTGACGGAGATGGTTCCTCAAGCCGTGGTAAGCAGAGCGGACAGAGAACTCTCCATTGGGGGAGAATTTCCAAGCCCAAAAGTCTTCAGTACCCTCCGGGGCGATCTGAATAAGCGAAATAGCCTCAACTTCCTCAGATGTACAATGTCTTCTCAAGAGGTCAAAATTCCAGCTTGAACCATCTTCATTCATCCAGTCTTTTACCCGAGAGGGAGGGTCAAGGTTTGATGATAATTTATGCCCTTGAATGTGGAGTGGGAAGATCCAAGGGTCTTTGTGGAACCAAGTGGTCTCCCCCGATCCAATGACACGAATTGCACCAATATCCAGGGCCTGCCTTGCTTCACAGAAGCTCGCCCAAATCCACGAAGAGGCACCACCTTTTCATGCCGTGGAGAACACGCCATTCGGGAAGTAAAGGCCACGGAGAACTCTGGCCCATAAGGCTTCCGGCTCATTGAGGAGACGCCAACACTGTTTAGCAAGCAGAGAGAGGTTAAAACAGTGAAAATTCTGGAAACCCAACCCACCTTCAGATTTTGGGTCGCTGAGGACTTCTCCTTTGCGCCAATGGATGCATTTTTTTCTCATAGAACCCGACCAAAAGAATATGTGAAGAAGAGAATCCATTTTCTTCGTTAGAGTTGCTGGAAGGAGAAAGACACTCATGATGTAGGTTGGGAGTGCTTGGATAACGGCTTTGAGAAGAGTTTCCTTTCCCCCATGCGAGAGCGTGAGACTCTTCCAAGATTCCCCTTTCTTTTCCATCCTCTCGATTAGGAAGGAAAATGTTTCTTTCTTTGAGCGCCCCCAATCGGTCGGGACCCCCAGGTACTTATCATGGTGGATGGATGATGGGAATCCCAAAGAGATTGTGATAAGCTGTCGGAGTTCATCGGGGGTGTTCTTGCTGAAGAAGACTGATGATTTTTCCATGTTGACCTCTTGTCCTGTCAGAGATTTGTAGGTGTCTTTGATCGCCAAAATCTCTTGTGCCTCCTCCCTCGAGGCTTTGCCAAAAATGACGGTGTCGTCTGCAAACAGACAATGGGAGAGGCGTGGACAGTTAGGTTTCATTTTGAGCCCTTGGATAGTGCCCCGGGAAACACTCCTGTCAAGTAAGAAGGAAAGGGCATTCGACATAAGGATAAAAAGGAAAGGGGAGAGGGGGTCTCCCTGTCGAATTCCCCTTGATGGGATGAAGAAATCCGTCGGTCCTCCATTGAACAGGATGGAGAATCGAACTGTGCGAATGCATTCCATGACCCACCCGCACCATGAGTGATTGAACCCATATGCTTTCAAGAGCACTCCAAGACAGTTCCAATCAACAAGATCGAAAGCCTTCCTCATATCCATCTTGAGCATCATATCAAATCTCTTTCCTTTTTTACGTTTTTTGAAGTGATGCAGAACCTCATGAACAATAATAATGTTGTCCTGAATCAATCGTCCACCAGTGAAGGCAGCTTGCATTTCTGACACAAGGCATGGCATGAACTTCTTGATACGAGATGACATGATCTTGGAAACCACCTTGTACTTAAAGTTGCAGCAGCTAATAGGACGGAATTGAGATGCAAATTCAGGCGATGAAACCTTTGGGATGAGAGCAATATGTGTGTCGTTCCATCCAGGAGGCATAGTAGATGTTGCAAAAAAGGATTCAACTTCCTTGCACAAATCATCCCCAACAATGCTCCAGTATTTTCGAAAGAAGATCCCAGAGAAACCGTCAGGTCCAGGGGATTTATGAGGCCCCAAAGAGAACACCGCCTGCTTGATTTCTTCCCTTGAGACCGGCTTGCTAAGCTCTACATTCATTTCATCAGTCACAAAGCGAGGGAAGTCGGCGAGGAGATTCTCATCAAGAACTGAATCTTTTGCTTTGAATAACTCCTTGTAGAAATTGGATAAGTGGGCCGAGAGGAGGTCCGGCTGCCTGATCCAATTCCCTTCAGAGTCTTTGAGACCAATGATCCTGTTGAAATGTTTCCGGTAAACAGTGGAGTTGTGGAAAAATTTCGTATTTTGGTCACCTTCCGCCAACCAGTTAACCCTCGATCTCTGCCTCCACATTCTCTCTTCGTCCCTCCAAATTGCATCCAGATCCTCCAACAGTTTCGTTTCTTCCTCCAGTACCTCATCCGATCGGAAACACTGGGCGAGATGCTCAAGTCGATTTTTTATTTCAGTTTCCTTTTGTTGTTGGGCTTCTCTCAAACCTTTTGCCCACGTTTTGAGATTTTCTTCGCATCTTTTCAGTTTTTGATCATGAGTCCCTTCTGTTGCCCATGCGTTGAGTACCACTTGGTCACATTCATCTTTCCCAAGCCATCGATCATCGAAGCGGAAAGGTCTTCTCCTAGTGGAGTCAGGAGAATGGAATTCAAGCCTTATGGCTCGATGGTCAGAGCCGACATCGGTGTCATGGAAGAGAACCGCCTCGTCAAAGATCGCACGCCAAGATGGGGTGCAAAGGGCACGATCAAGACGACCTTTGATAAGACTATGACCTCTTCGTTTGTTGCTCCATGTGAATTGAGGTCCTTTGTGGCCCATGTCAATTAATCCGTTGTCGAAAATGAAGTTCTTGAATGGTACTACGGATTCTCTTCTTGGCGCCCCTCCTCCACACTTCTCATAGTCAAATAACATGGCATTCAAGTCCCCGATTACAACCCAAGGTACATTAGGTTCACTTCTAAAACTAGATAAACTATCCCAAAAGGTCCTTCTCTAACTAGGAACAGAGGGGGCATAAACAAAGG